TGCGAATATTTAATATGGAAAAGACGATCGCCTTTGATTTGTAGTCTTTTTACATTTTTTACCTTCGTATATATTTTGCGGCAGTGCAAATATACATGAACACGAAACCGAGAAGAAGCGACAGAGAGGGAAGTAAAGATAATAACGTATTCGACGAGGAGAATGGCATCACTCGCGCAGTCGTCTGCCGCGGTATGAATTACATCGGCGATTGAAACTCGTTCGTGGTAGAAAAAAAAAAAGAAAGCAAGTGTGCAGACCTCGGGCTGTCGGAGGTGCCGAGATTTGCATATTAAATGGCTTGGGATTTATAACGGTCGGTCTTTCGAGTGGTGTTAGCAATATGTACGATAAATAAAGAATGTTTCTCGCGCGAATCGATAGCGCGCAAAGTTCAGTTTTTGCGCACGCTTAGACTGCGAGAGAGAAGAGCAAAGAGGTAGAGAAAAGAAAAGCCTCGTGGAACATATTTTGATGGCTTTAAGATGTGACACGGAAGAAAACAGCTTTTCGAGCATTATCAATTTACTCTTAACTTGCTAGCTTACTCGAAAAATAAAACCTAAACCGATCTACCTTTGTATATGATATCTTTTTGATATTGAACTCTAAATTCATCAAATATTAACATTAAGGATCATCCTGCAAACGCGGGGAGTATAATTTCAAAATATAATTAGTATAACCAATTAATTTATTTAAATGAATTTACGTCATTTCGCTCTTGCGTCTCTTATTTATCTCATTTAACGTTGCCCGTAAGATTGATCGAATAATCCACGCGGTGTCCCGTCAGAAAATTTTCTGGATCGTTGAAGGAGTTATACCGACTCTCTCGAACCGGTTCTCATCACTATTCGGCGGCAGTATCGAACTAAGTTATGTTCCGCTTGCGCGAATTTGTGCGTTCCGCGTGCCTCGTCGGCGCTTTTGATATACGAATACCCCATCGCGGCGGGTTCGAAACGGGTGGGACACTTTGTTGCGAAACGACCTTAGTAATATCTATTACCGCGTCGGATTTAAGGGGCATTAAAAGATAAGTTCCTCGAAAAGATGTTCCCGCGTGTGTTACACAAAGTATAAAATAATACGATGCTAATATAAAATATTCTGCGCAGCATTGGCTTTACGCTTTTTTATATGCTCCCCTTTATTCCTCATCATTTTTATCACATACACATATACAAACAGAGGACATATAAATTATGCTATCAACTGGAATGCGACCTAAATTATTCGCGTAAAGTTGATAACTTCTGTAGTCTTATGTTTATTATTCTGATAAACATTGTATTATCAATAAATGGTCCTATCATTGTGAGCGTTATCTATATAATAGGTAGCATAGAGGAGATATAACGAAATAGAATACCGCATTTGTCTGTTGGAAAGTGCTCCCATGTATCGATTTATTTATGAACCTTTTTCAACTAGACGACGACACTTTGCGGTGTTCGAATTGTGAAGGAATCTATTATTGTCCTGCTGAATTATTTCATCTAAATAAACATCTCGCTTTATTTGATCAGTTGGCCAAAACGTGACACTCGCCTTAAATACATACAGAGAATAATAAACTTGTATACATATATATATATATATATAT